GTGCTCCAGCTCTTCCCTGGGACCCTGCCACCCGCTCCTGAGCGGGGACCTCAGCCACCAACACTGCACCAGATAGCTCAGGGTGCCAAACTGCCCTCAGAGTTCTTAAGGAAAGGAGAAAGAAAAAGATGAATCACATCAGAAAAAGTAGCAGCAAACTGCTTCAGACCAAAACTACATTGAGGATAAAAATAAAAATTAACTTAGAGTTGGCAGCTTGAATTTTAGATTTCACAAGAGGAATGCTGCTGTTTCCAGTCAAGTACTTGATAAGATCTGGCTTCTTCAGTTCAGTAGGTTTTTTTTTTAATATGGAAGATGGACAGAGAAATCAACTTACTTACAAAAAAACCCAAAAACAACCACCACAACACCCCCCCCCCAAAAAAAACAAACAAACAAAAAAAGAAGCGAGGTTTTGCAAGAACACATCAGTTTTGTTGACATCTTCATCACAACCAGAATGGAACAGCTGTTCCTAAAACACCTCTCGACAGTCAGGACTTGAGCTCAAAGCACTGCTCTGCTGCTCTGCCGACTTTGGTCCCTGGACTGGAACTTCTATCTTGATGAGTATCTACACCGCAAGGACATCATGCCTTGTCTTCCTCTGATGGGACATCTTCCCCCTCTGCCAGAAACGTGCCCTTGGTGTTGTACAGAGAACAATACTTTAAAGGAGTTTTCCTTCAAGTTAATACTTAACTTCATTTTAAAAAATCAATAAATATCTGGAGAGGGTTTCATACTCTCTTTAAATGGCTCTGGAACACGGGATAGACAGTGCGAGTATGCAACATAAGTCAAGCAAAACAGCAATTTTGAATTTGAATCTATCATGTCCCTGCCTCAACTGGCTAGTCTTGGCTAGTCCCCATCTCTGCAGGTTTTTAAAAGAAATTCTCCCTAACATCTTAATGCTAAGCAATAACATTTACAAAGTCTTGGAACTTCAGTGGGATGCAAACCTTGTTTCCTACCCATCACTAATCACTGCAATTTGTGCTACAAATTTAAGTGGGAGGGAACAGTTTTAAACAGTCTTTCATGGGCTTGGAAAGCATTTTCTCTCTCTCCTGCCACATGTCATAAAATATATTTAATGCAGGAACAGCACCTAGTAACAATAACTTAAGTATGATGTTCGGGGCACAAGGAGAGAGTGCTGCCATGATGAGCTGAGCCCTGCATGAACATACTCCAACCCCAAACCCTACATAGCGCACCTATTCATCCTCTCCTACATGAGCCTTAGAAAAGGCTGCTGAAACCTCTTCAAACGCCTCCTTTCAACACACACTCCCTTCTGAAAACCTCTGGAGAGATGCTGAGGGTTTTTTTGTCCCCTCTCAAGTGACAGGATCACAGTTTGAAGACTTTTCATGCAGGAGAAGTGAATTCACTCTTTTTAAAAATAAGAAAAAAAGAAAAAGAAAAGAAATTAAAACAAGGAAAAAGATGTGGTCTACCTCAGTGATTCAAGTTTCAGCTTTAGCAACTTCAGACATTATCTCACTAAGCTGTTCTGCTGCACTACAATGAACGTCATGTCTCGTAAGATACATCTTTGCTCCTACCTCCATCTTTTTATTTCACTATCAGTTTTGGTCTTATGTTGATTTAAAAAAAAATGAAAAACAACAAACCAGTCAAGTGACACATTCTAGCTGATCTCTGCTCCCAAATCACAAATTTCTATAACTGAAAATCCAAATTACTCTCTGTGCTGGAAAACTCTGTTTCTGCCCCACATCTACCAGCGTTGGAGTTCAGCTGTATTTACGGAATCAGAATCAAGGCAGAAACAGTCTTCCTCCTGACGTCAAGGTAACAGTTGCTCTACGATTGAATCCAACTCTCAGACTGATATTCATAGACTAATTTCCAAGCCCGAGCAGAACCAGGGAAACCCCCACACTCACAGCTAGCCAACAAGCAAGGCGATGACTTGTTGGAGCAAATGCTGCCGAAGCCATTTAAGACTGCGGCCATGCTGTTGTGAATGGAGGACTGCACACAAGTCAGGAACACAGAATTTTACTGCAAACCCTTTGCCAATTTCAATTAAGAAAAATCTTCAGCCCAAACACATGACCATCATTTTTCTTTACACTTTTGGCAGCGTTGGGTCTTTCTGGAGCCCTTTCCAACACCTTTCCCTACCACTGACTCTGGCTTGCCGTTGCTGTCAGATATGAGAAGTCGTTCCAAAAAGAGAGCAACCCAGTGGATGTCTGCAATGAGTGTATGTCCTGGTTTCGGCAGGGATAGAGTTAATTTCCTTCCTAGTAGCTGGTACAGTGCTGTGTTTTGGATTTAGGGTGAGAACAATGTTGATAACACACCGATGTTTTAGTTGTTGCTAGGTAATGCTTACACTAGCCAAGGACTGTTCAGCTTCCCATGCTCTACCGACTGAGAAGGCTGGAGGTGCACAAGAAGCTGGGAGGGGGCACAGCCAGGACAGCTGACCC